TAGGTGCAAGTTTTACACAAAAACCATATTATTATACCTATTTATAAATGACAGGACAGGTGTTATGAATTCTACTACCGTGTGTCCGTCACGTCTGTGATTAAACTTCCGCCTTTTGTTACTACCGATTATTGAACCTCGTCCAATAACCTTTAACCGATATTAATCTACAACACAATTAATCCTATAAGAGGTGACTTGCAACAATGATTAAACACTCCATATTTTTATACAATATATTATAAAATAAAAGACGTTTTTTTTCTTTTTAACAAATTCTACCAGCCGTTTAAAAAATAAATGTTWAAGTGTCAAAACTTAACACAATTTTAATTACTAAAATATATTGTATAATATACAGATTACTTAAATTAAGTACCAACACTACCAACCATAAAAATATGGCTTTAAACAGATTGATATTAATTTTAATTTATTCATTTGGGTGCCTACTTACTGATGTATACTCTACATAATGTAATATTTGCATAGGTATGGTCTTAGTCTTAGATAATATAAGATATAATAGGTAATCCAAATGGCATTTTTTATCTTATGTGTATAAATATATGCGTGGGTAATCAAATCATACCTACAACACATTTTTCAGGGTCGAATTACAATATATTAAAATATAGAGCTACCACGAACTTATTATTATTATATGTACTTATAAGTACATTAAAAAAATGTAATAGCTAATTTTTTTCATACAYGACTAAAAACGGTTTGTACTAAAATAAAAAAAAAAATTGAATAGATTTACTTAAATTTTAAACTACGGACATCTTAAACTTGGCRAAATTAATTGATACCGAGGCCGTTGAGTTGTGAACAAATATTTAACGAACTGCAATRAAATACCTACATGGTGGCGGCAGCAAGATTGACGTAGCTAATACTATATAATGCCCAGCGGCTATCTGCGGGATACGTTTGTCTAAAAATCAAATTAACCCGAGATTAAATCGCGAAAAACCATATTTAGAAGTCAGCGATCAACCGGTGTTTCRCGAGGAATGTAAATATGTACCTACTCATACAGTCATACACGTCAGAATGCACTGTAAAATACATAGGTAGTAAGAGTGGTCCACCGCGACATGCGCCATTCTTCAATCTGAACATTGGAGGCGTTTTATTACGACAAGTACTATACGTATAGGTAATTGTACATCATGTACCATATTAATCTATAACACTGCAAGGTGTTCCCTAAAGAGCACAGTTGTAACAAGATACTTAAAAACAGTATATACCWAGGTATAAGATACGAAACGCTGATTAARAAAGWGATATGTAAATATAGATATTGTTAGTCATAACATTGTAGATACGCACGTCATACGAATAGTACAATATTAATGTTTTCTGATGTTTAACAAAAACGGAGTAGGCACCTGTWATAATTATTCTGTAACCAATCACTTGTCAATAATATTTGCACGAATCTTGCAGCAAGATATTATGATTTCAATGATATTTTKAAAACTACAATTATATTCACGGTACTTATATGGAATGTATTCAATATGCATTCAATTGAATTATTATTATTTCGTATCAGTCGTATCACTACTACGGAACCTATATACAAAATAAAGATAAAAGATAAAATATTAAAGGATAAAAAGATGCATTCAATGCAGCGCCGCGTGGRTATAATTATTCAAATAACTATAATAATCAATCTTTCGTGATTTTGTCAGTAAAAAAAGCTTAGACGCAGTACCCAAATGTTGAAATGTCAGTAATCAGAATACCTATGTGCTATGTCTATATATGCGTTATAATTGCAACTGTGCAGCAATCGTAGATCATCACGGTCGTCGACAGTTTCGTTAAAAATAGCATCAATAATAATAATGATAATAATTCCGCACTTGCAGTAGCAATAATGACAATATACATATATAGTATAGACGGAACGTAGACATGCAGTCGCGGGCACGCGTATTTTAAAGCAGTTGTGTACCTATATACCTATATGAGGTGTATAATACATTATATACATAGGTACCTATAGGTATATACTGACAATATTAATAGTATTATACGGGATTATAATAATCATATATATTGACCACGGTACAGGATATAAAAAACAACGAAAAAACCTCGTGTGGGCAGCGTGCCTTCGTGATGTCGCCGACGATCAGCAGAGGCTGTGTGGCGGCRGACGAACAGGCGAAATAATAATAATAATAATACAATAATAATATTATAACAATATTATATTATTATAGACATGACCCACCGCCCGAGCGTGGGGGAAACGGCCACGGAGCGGCGGTGGCAGCGGCGATTGCGAATGTTCTAAAAATCGTATTTTGTAGTTAGTCGCGTTATCTGCAGCGATTCGTTTATAACGATTTTCACTGCACAGTGAAATGACGATATTATAATAATATTACACTGCGATGGCTACATTTCGCTAAAAATGTTTACCATCATACTGTGTTTGTGTAACAATATTTTATTTTTGTAATACTATCAAAATATACCCGCAGCCCAGGCTCACCAGATTGGCTGTTTTTTTTGTTTTTAAATCGTTTTAATTTTTTTTACTCATAACTATATATTGTTAATATTATTTTACAAGCRTGCGAGTTCGAGTATCGCAATACTTACCAAATTTGAATAGTCGTCCGCTGCCACTTTTYGACTGGAGACATTGATTGCAACATTAGATAATATTACTACATACCTACCTATAAGTAAGTTTTGTTTTATCAGGAAATGCATTGCTTAACCTAACTTATCCTAACGTTTCTGAACTACAATTTTTATTTTGCTTATAATATGCCTAACAACCARCAAATACAAATTGTTATATAATACCGTTATATTTATATTATATTATATAAGTATTAAAATAATCAGACACATTACATATTAACTATATACCTTGTAAGTTATAGGTGAGTAAAACTAAGTAAAATATAATTCGTTCAGCTTGCGATGTTGAATTAGACAATTTACCAAATATGTTGTATTGATATCACACACCTAAAACKTTCGAWTAAGTATATTAATATTAGTACTTGAGTGAAATCTTGTAAAATACAACATATAACTTACTGTAATAAGAGAAAATTTATGAAATTTAAAGATAAAGAGTTTAAATATAAAATACTATTGTTTAAAAATA